AAAAAAAAAAAAAAAAGAGCTCCCTCCCCCAGGCAAGGGCTGGAGGGTACCTGGAGAGGTCCCAGCTCACCTGGAGCACAAGGTTCAGGTGTGCCATTCAGATCCCAAGCACTCAGGCTGGGGTGGGCACAGAGTGCACAAGGAGGAGCATCTCTCCAGGGGCCAGGAGGGAGCTTGTGGGGGAGGGAAACGAGCTTGGCAGATGGGGACCATGGCACGGGAAAGGCCTGGAGAGGTTAAGGGGGCATGGGTTCTGGAGACAGGCATGGCACTGCTATGGGGAACCCTGGGAGAAAGGAGGGAGGGCCTGGGCTGCGGACGGATGGGCTGGCCCCCAGCACCAGGCCTGTAATGAGGAGCAGGAGGGTTGGGTAGGGGCCTCTCAGGGCTGTGCTCTATTTAGAAGGACCCTCCTCTCCTCTGGCTGCTGGAGTTGGAGGTAGGCAGAGCAGCAAGGAGACCGGGGGTCATGGTCCAGGCTGGGGATGAGCCTAGTGTGAGGGGAGCAAGGCTGGTCCCTGGGTTTCTAGCTCAGGAGAGAACTCCCAGGGGGCCCACCTTGAGGGGCCCTGGCCCATTGCCTCTCTGTCCCCTGCCCATGGGCCAGCAACTCCGTGGCAGGAAGGTGTAGGCGGTGGGGCAGCTGCAAAGGAGAAGTGGGTCTGGGAGGTGGGTGTGGGTGTGAGTGGGTGGATGGCGAGGCCAGAAATCTGGAGAAGAGCCAGGCCAGCACAGCCCTTCTTGTGGTACAGAGGGATGGGGCAAGGCCACTCTCACCTGTCACTGTTGGTGCCACTGTAATAACTTGCTATCTTTAGGGACACAGAGCTCTGTCTACATACCAGGCACCTCACCTGGCCTTTGAGCCAAACACTGGGGCAGGGCTGTCTGAGACTGTGGGAACCCAGGAGCAGAGCACCTGTCTATGGGAGAGGGTGGCCCAGAGGGGCGAGGCTGGGATAATTCACATAAGCTAAGCCAAGGATGCAAGCCTGTGCTGGGCCTCCATTCCCGCAGGGGTAAGAATGGGGCTGCTCTGCCTCCTCCAGCAGAGACAGGAAGGCCACCCTCCAGCCTCGCTGCCACAAAATAAAGGTCCCTTACCTTGGCTGGAGAGGGAGGCCAGCCGCCTGGAGGGACAAAGCAGAATTACTCATTTGACACTAATGTTTACTGGGTGCTTCCTTCGTGCCCACACTGATCTGGGGGTGAGGGACAAGGCAAGGAACAGCAAAAGGCCTGTGGGGTTAGTTTTTCTGTGCCTGACCTTGGCTGAACCTTTTCACTTGAGCTTCCTAAATGGGTGGGGGTGGGGGTTGTGGCAGGCCCTGAATCTCGGCTTGGATGACTGAGTGGTTAAGAAGAGAAATTTCACCAATGTGGGAAATACAGGTTACACCTCAATTTTTTTTCTTTTCATAGCTCCTAAGTCAAGTTTACCAATTTCCTTTTTTCTTTGCAGTACTGGGAATTGGACCCAGGGGCATTCATCCTCAGTTTTTGAAATTTATTTTTTTATAGTTTATTTAGTGGTATGAGGGATTGAACCCAGGCATGCTTAACCACTGAGCCACATCCCCAGCCTTTTTTTTTTTTTAATTTATATTTTTATTTTGACACAGGGTCTCACTGAGTTGCTAAGGGCTTCACCAAAACTGGCCTCAAACTTGCATTCTTCTGCCTCAGCCTCCTGACTAACTGGGATTGCAGGTGTGCACCAGAGTGTTCGCTCTGTGTCACTTTTTCTCCTTCCTTCCTTCCCTCCCTCCCTCCCTCCCTTCTCTCTCTCTCTCTCTCTCTTTCTTTCTTTCTTGAAGATTGAACCCAGGAGTGCTTAACCACTGAGCCACATCTCCAGCATTTCTTTTTTTTTTTTTTTTTTGAGAGAGGGCCTCCCTAAATTTCTGAGGCTGGCCTTGACCTTACAATCCTGCCTCAGCCTCCTGAGTAATGAATAATGGGGATTCCAGGTATGCACCACTGCACCCACTACCTCCACCTCTCTGTTACTTTTTCATTGAGAGATGACACAAAGAGTTAAAAGTTTCTGAAGTCAGTGTAGTTCTTACAAATTCTCATTGTTCCTTTAACAGCTTGGGTCTTGCTGTGTTGCCTAGCTGGGTCTCAGATTGACGAGTTCAAACGATCCTTTCACTGTGCCAAGTTTTGCTTTTTTGCTGTATGGGGCCTACTGGGGCCTATAGGCCCTCTAGTGATTGAACCCGGATACTTGTCACTGAGTTACACCCCTGACCCTTGTTAGTTTTTATTTTGAGACGGGGTCTTACAGTGTTGCTCGGGCTGGCCTGAACTGTGGCTCAAATGATTTTCCCTTGGCCTCCTGGGTAGCTGGGACTACAGGCAAGTGCCACCATGCCCAGCCCCCCATATTCCACCATTTAAAAAATTTTTTTTCTTAAGTTGTAGACGGACACAATACCTTTATTTTATTTATCTATTTTTTTGTGGTGCTGAGGATCAAACCCAGTGACTTACATGTGCTAGGCAAGTGTTCTACCACTGAGCCACAAGCCCAGCCTTCTCCCCACTGTTTTAAAAACAGTTTTTACCTTAAATAATTTGATATTATGAGTTCATATCTTTTCTTTTTTTAAATTTATTTTTTAGTTGTACACAA